ATACAGATTTACATTCCAGGCTTTCAACTCGTGCAGCCAACATGGAATGACATTAGACTTCAAAGGAATTTGGATTTGGTGCGTGGAAGATAACCATGATGGTTAAGCTGTTCCACCGAACTCGCAGTTTACCGCTCCCGCTTCATTTTGCGCATTCGCTATGCTAATGTCCCCTGTTTTTTTTGGAAAAATTATAGCAGATACACAAAATAAAGCAGGCTTTGCACTGATACGTGGTAAAGTGTGATACTGAACGACCCATGCTCTCCGCACAAGAAGCAATCTTCACAATAATGATATCCGTTGGCAACGCTCATCCACCACCTGTCTTTCGGTTTGGTTTTGACTCTTCCAAAATGTCACATTGTAGCGCTTACTTGCGCCTCTGCATTACTACCATTCTATCTTTGTGTTAGGTGTTGGAAAATCGAAGGAATCTTGCAAACCATTGCATTTCTTCCCCTCAACTTGCAGACGACTTTCACGTATTCCGTAGCCACGTACCACACATATTTGAAATCAGCCGAGTTGTGATGTAGTCGACGTGGTTGTTAACGCAATGACCATCTTCTCCTTGGGTTATGTTTCTTCATGAATTACTTTTGATTGATGCATAAATTGCTGCCTCTTATTAATAGGTTAAGGGAAACTACGTGTGATTTTGGGGATGCACACAACGTGAAGCCTGAAGAGGTGCACATTAGGCACCACATGCTATTCACTTTTGCATGACTATTTGGCCTGTAACCTAGTAATGGCAACATGCACTGAGGAGGTGGTAAGCATCACTTGGAGAAGGGGCAGCTCAAGAAGATTTGCACGTCAAAAGGCGATTGCGTTGTTGAGTTAAGTGATGGAAGGCGTTACCTCACATCCTACAGGTGTAATGGCTGCCAGCTTTTCACGCCAGGCATAGAGACGTGTGGCCAAGGCTACAACGAGTAGACAAGTTGAATGGCACCCAGGAGGCTCCCGCCCACACAATCTATGTGAAGGTTCAAACGAAGGGGAATGTAGCAGAAAGCAGAATAAATGAGCTCTTACGGACAGATTGATGTAAAATCGTCGACTTCTTGTAGTGCACTCATGTAAATAATCGCAACGATATTGCAGGCTTTAAAAGTCAGAGGATGGTGTTGGAGCGAGGTGTGTCGTAATCATTTGACCCTGTGATTGTTCTGAATTGGAAGCTGCCCACTCGAATTCAGCTTGCTTGCGAATTTCACTGATTTGTTTTCCAACTTTTGTGCTTCTTACGGTTAGTCGCCATTTCTGTAGAGCAAACGTTTCCTTGCTATGCAATACACTTGTTGGTAATATCGATGATATCAAGACGAGATATTTTGGGAATCGTCCCATTCCTCCTTTATCGTGTATCAGCAGTTAGTACTGACTTTCAAGCCACTTGACTGGGCTCTAGCCCACTCCCCATAATCGCTCGATCTCAACGTATAAGAAGCTGAAGCCGTTTGTGCTCCTACTTTCTTTTTCACTTTTACAAGCCCCGACTGGGTCAATCTCAGCCAATTTCACGAGAGAGGCGAGTGACTGATTTCCCTACCACCACCTCAAACGCTGGACACGGCCTGGCTTTCACCATTCCCTGCCAGTTTTAACGGGAAGCTTCCGTTACTCATGCTTAGGCACACATCTGTGGGCTCGAGTCGACTAACTTCTCACGAGCGCTGTTCCAGCCCCGTTTTACAGCACCTATTTGTATTGCATTTGAGGAATAAGATGGGTGTTCCTGTCCCCCTACCTGTCTGCTTGGTAGATGTTATGATTGTGTTGTGTGATGGATTCACATCTCGAGATTTACTACGTTCTTTGGCTGTAGAGACGCAACTTGTGCGTGACTGACTGACTGAATGAATGAGAAAGGAGTTTAACCAATGCTTTGAGGCTTCGTTTTGATAATCTGTCTCTACTTCACTACTTCTCAATTATGGGTAGGTTTTGTGTGCATTACGAGTGGATACATACTTCGGTGCTCTGACGTTTTGCTACCTCCCACTAAGGGAAAGCGGCGATCGAATTACGAGTGACCTCCAGTTCCTCTGCAATATGTCTACATTTGTCAATGAGGTGGGTATCATCTCCATTCGCCCTGCTTTCGCGCACATCTTTCCACCATTGCCATGATGCTGACTGTGACGTGAGGCCCTCCAACTAGACTTTAACACACCCTCCGCGTAGTCGTGCCCATAGGTGGACTTAGTCACATCCTCCCTCCTATGATCTGCCTCCTCCTGCCATTTACTCCCCATCCGCTCCCAGTGGACAAGTACGCAGGGGTTTAAGCTGGGTTGAACAAGTGTCCCGATATAGACACCATGGCGCACATCACCCCTTCTGCTAGAACAAGTTAGCCATCTGGTCATAAAGCCGTCAAAGTCACCAGTGGTCTCTCCAGATGGCCTGGTACGGAAGAGACTAAAATCTGCCGATGTGCATCGAATATGGGAAGCTGAAGACGTGGTGCGGGCCCTCTGACAGCCCGGAAGCCACATCCATCCTATTCTTCACTGAGAAGGGCATGTGGTGCACGGCTGAAGAGGACCCAGCGTTAGTGGCGCTACCGGCACCATGCGAGTCAGTCTTCGGTGGGTTGTGCCAACACTGATTGGCTGTTACAAACCAGTCCTTCCTGAGTGCAGACTCAGGCTCAGATCAAGTAAATACTCCTGAATCAATTTCACCTCTTTACTAAAATATAATACTGGAACCCGTGTTTGGTGTCCACGACTATTCAGCCTGCGGTGGTGCAACGCACTGTCAATTCTTCGGGTGTATGTCTGTGGGTTCCAAATGGAAATCCCTCGCTATCAACATGCGAGTCAAGTGTTGTGAACGGAGCGAGTCGAGCGGTAGCATGACCGGATCCAATCGCTCCCGCTCCTCGTCCCCTTTTCTCCAACCTTGGTCACGATGGCAACAAATTTGCATTGTCTTCAACAATGGTCCTGGTAAAATCTGGCAGCCACATTTAAATACAATTTGTTTTGCTGAATCTATTTCGCTTGACGAGGTCATTTGTTTGCATTACACCAGACATGGCAGCCAAATTTGTAGCACATGATTCTAAGCATGTGGACTCCTGTGTCATTCAGCTCGTCATTTTTTTGCCTAGCAATTCATGCCAAATTTTTCGTCTTTCCTTGGCAAGGCAATATTAGGGCAAATTAACTGACAACCCCATTACACTTTGGTATGAACATGAGTTAGGTCTCTCAGTCAAAGCATTTATTTTGCTTCTTTTGTTGTAACTTCTGGAAATTCAAAATTTTCTTGCTAGTGCTTAACAATCAGGAACCACCAGAAGTGGGGATGGAGATGTGTAGAACAGCCTACCCGGAGATCCATTCGCGTCCAACATTTCTAAATGTCTCTGTCAATGACCATCGGCCCTACAATTGGTTCGACTTTTCGATTTCATCATGTGCAATGCCTGAACGAAAAACGTCTCGCAGCTGTACACGGACTTCGGAAACGCTCCCACCTCCCAGCATCTCGCCAAAGACCAGCAACTACAACGCTAAGGCACGCACTTTTGATTGCACCACGTAAAAATATGCTACTTCAATATTTGGAGACCTACAATGGCATAAAAATATGCAAGTCCTATAAACAAATCCCCAACCTTTTTGGAAAATCGCAAAGCGCAGTTTGCTGCATAGAAGACGACATTCTTCTTCAAAGCAAATACCTACACACAAACGCAAAAAAGATGTCCGATGTAAACACGCGGCCAAGACACTCAATATCTACTGGTGCCATAACACCTGTTTCTCTCTCCTAACCACATCTCGACGCACGTTGCAGTGGCCGTTAAAGAAGAGGAGTTATACGAAACACCGATTGCGAAATGGAAAAGCAAGACAATGTTTTCTCCAGCCGCACATTCAACTACGCAGACTCTCCACTCCCCACTCTTGCCTCTCCTTTCCCCCATCTTCGTGTCATATTCACCTGTCTAGTCGGTGACATTCAAGTAGGACCAGTTAGCAGTAAACGAGAAGGGGGATTCGCATGAAAACAAAAAACAAAGAACAAACCAATGATGAAGATACGGGTGTGCTCCAAAGGAAGAAGGTGCGCCGAAGATTATGCATTCGTAAGAATTTCTCCAAAAAATTGTGTGAATACTTTGTGCACACATTGCACATGGTGGAATCAACCACTCGTACCAATCGTCACGCTGATGATCGTTGATAAAGGGACTTTTTGCAATGGTGGACATAAATGAATTCGTATGGGGTGAAAATTCACTTCTTTGTCCAATCTTCGTGTCAGCATTTCCCCAGATTGAATCCGGTACACTGTAAATATCCACCTTCTTAAATAACGGGCACAGGATTCATCCTCTTAACCTAGGTTTGGAAAATGACAATTGCGCACTCAAACATTTCTGCGAGAAAGGTAGGTACAACACAATTATTCACAAACGAAATTGTAAATTAACCTAGTGCATCCATACTTGGTACCCTGCCAGCCTCTTGATATTACAAATGGCAGAAAAACCAAATTTGTGTCAAGTTGAAGAAGCGCTCGGACATAGAAAGTCATTACATCCAACGAAAATGGGAGCACAACTTCACTCCCAGCAATAAAAGCATGCAGACCCATCGTCACCGGAAAAGCCTTCGAATCGATTTCACTACTCCTCATACCAGCCATTTAGTCAGCCTTGTCCATGCCATCTCTTAACACGTTCACTACTCTTCACAGTTCAGATGCTGCAATATTACAAACAATGATGCCAAGTAGCACACATTTCCCCAGCTACTCTCTTTACAACAATAACTTGGCAAATGCAGTTTTCCTACACTGGAGGGAAACATACGTCCCCTATTTCTACCGCTCTGGTCAAGTACGTGCACAGGGACTTCATATACATGGCTGGCCTTCCAGCCATGCCAGCAGCCCGAACACCCTCCCTGTACCGAATATATATATATTCCGCCCGAGTATTGTGTCTCCTTTCGTCTTCAGGGAAGTCTTCGGACGTTACAGTATATCTTCGTCTAAGAGAACAAATCCAACTTTTAACCAAACGAGGTCATGCACAGGCAAGTAAACGAGAACGCACCCACTTCTCCACCTGATTGTCACCTTCAGAGATATTGACCACCAATTTAACCATCTCTTCACAAACTGTTCACTTTTTGTCTTTCCTGCAATAAAAACAATAAACTAAAACAGACCAAAGTGGGAAAATAATGAAGACGAAAGCAGTCTACCAGTTATTCGTCTCTGAGCAACAAATTGTGTTATTGGAAAATGAAGCATTGTTGCACATCTTGCGCTGTCTCAAATAAAGCAGGTCGACCTACCCATCTCACAATATTGAATCGCATTGCACGCTCATCTTAGGACACGATACACAGCTTGACATGCCCCAATAATTAACAGTTGAATGCAAGAAATAACGAGTGTGCAACCAAAAAGTGTCAGTGACATGATGAGCAGTGGGAGCCTGATGTCTTGCAAATACATCCAAGAAAAAAAACCGCGGGGTTTCATCGGTAGAACGAAAACATACAAATTTTTACAGCACAAGTAGGCAGCTCAAGTCCCACGTGAACAACCATTTGTTCAACGACATCAGATTTGCAAAAGCGCTACACATGGGCGACAAAAACTCACGCGAAAATTCAAATGTTGTGCTATGGGTTTGTGTAAAGTAAGAAATCCAGTTAAAGCTCGACAAATGCAATTATTCGTAAGGATTGACCAAAATCATAATCAAATTCATGACGATGCACCAAACAGACTTACAACGCCTTGTGACTGTTTGTCGCATGGCTCGAGTTAAAACCCTATACCAGCCCAATGCACAACGTAATGGCGGGAAGCTTTCAGCGCATTCCAACTAACAGACACGAGTTTGAATTATTTGTAGATCTACAAAGTGGAAACATGCTAAAACACATGACTGCCTCATTTGCATGGTAACTGTCCAATTTTGGAGATTATCGCCGAAGTGAAACAGAGCGCAGAGTGACAAACTCGTAAGTTACTATTAAAAGACGATGGTGGATTTATGTGCCAAAAATCGCAGTTAACTAAATAAAGAGCACATGCTTTTGCGCACACACTAGCTGAAATTTGAAAAGGTTTGATTAACCTGAAGCAGTCAAATTTTTGCACTGAAATATTTGTAGCCACCTAGAGACGAAATCTGTGCACCCTTCTCCTTTAGTTCAGGTGCGGTTGGTGTTTGAGTCATTTAAGCTCTTGGTGAGTAACAATGCTTCTTTAACTCTATTACTACTGATTTAGAGTCTTTTTATTGTAGCACCAAAATTTAAATGGCAATATCCATAGAATAATAACCGCTAAGGACTTTACACATTTTTATGGTAAATTGGCTACGGCTTAATAAGCAGCAGATACCTATCCTAATGACTTGGGCATCAGAAACGCATTGTTGGCTAAAATAGGCGATTTCAAGCCTATTTTGATCGACATGATTGTGGACACTATTCTCAGTGTTGGAATAGGTGAAATAATTACAGCCTTTAAGGTAGTAGCATGCAATGCTCCCAGTTTTGTTGGGTAAGATTCTACGGTATCTGTTAATGCTTCTTAGAATAATGTTGCCTTATCCTGCAGTCGTTTTGCAACAATAGTTTTCTTACCAGTACACATCTAATATATGTATTTAAATGAGCGAATGCTACAAATGAATGCGCGTATATCGCGTACCCTCCATCAGCGTACTTCACTATGTTCAGCACGCCTTAACCACATATTACGGATGTGCCTTTCGAATCAAGTGTATTTCGGTAACCAAATGAACACTTACTGACATGCATTTAGGTGTGTTCATTTCCACCCCTCCTTGTTTCAGCGATAGCGACATGACGATTGTTCCACTCCTTTGATATAGATGAAAGAATTATGGTCCAACTGTGCTATTAAAGAATAACAACACCACCAGCGGCAGCAACTACGAATTAAAGAGTGGATAAAAGCAATGCCATCAATGGCAAAGTGAATGTCAAATCGGGGCTTTCCGGTTCCATTATAACAGGAGCTCTCAACTGGTAATAATTTTCAAATAATAGGAGCTAAATCGGAGCAATGCTGTTTGGATTGTTCTCAAGCCACAAGGTTCTACGCATTTGGACTATTTTCCATCCATTTAATTCCGCCTATGCCAACTAGTCTAAACGCAATAACAGTTGCGCCGTTAACAAATCATCGGCAGAGAATGTGGGTATAAATGCAGTCCATAATCAGGCAGAATCTGCTTTGTCAAGAAGTAAGCGCTTGCCTACATCTACGCATTTAGTAAATCTTCCCCATTACGAAGGCTCTAAGAACACTAGAGCTCAACACCTACTTGCAATTTGATGAATTACAAAATTTTACTACCCATTTCAGTTCCCCTTACACCATTCTAAACATCTTTAGCATTGTCTTCTTGTACTTAAAGAAAAGCACTCGTTAGGAGTTGCTGCGATGCTGTGGCACGCCACAAAAGCAGTGGTATAAAGACGGTCAATTGGAGGATGCCAACGGACCTCCCTCTAGAGCGTCTGCTGAACGAGTCGGATCCATGTTCCATGACCATAAGGGGGGTGCTACACTGCGGTAAACATTTAGGTAACTATAGCATTGAAATGTTATGGCACTTTGCCTGCCATCTGACTTAGAATGTGGGTCATTGATGCGTTTTTGTTACCGACAGTTGTGCACAAACATGTGGCGCAAGACAGATGCTCTATATATATAATGTCAAACTTCACTTTCGAATCGACAGGTGACCTATCAGCCTCGCCACTTACAGAGACAAACATGACATTGAAGCTTCAGTCGTGGGAGCACTTTGACTAATTTAACAACTACATAGTTGCTGAGATACTTCAAATAAAAGTATTCGTTGGCTTTATTTACAGCGCAACTTAAAATGATGGGTAAAAAACACTTAGGCGAGCGAGAAACATTTTGTTTTGACGTCTGAAAGTTGATTTGATATTGTGAGGCGACGATTTGAAGTTGTCATCCAATGGATACGTGATGTGTCGGAGTGTTGTGAGAATTTATCACCGATAATCATTTTTCGTGGTTTTGATAGAGTCACTTACTTGCGAGAAAAATGCATTCTACTCTTTTTAAACCGTAATGTTAGCTGCTTCTCATAAATGGTGCAATGATTTGCAGGACGGTTGAATTTTTGTGGGCATTTTGATGAAGGATGCTGCTTTCTTAAGCATACCGCACCTGCAGTGAAAGGTTTTGATTTTCTTCTTCTCCTTACTACCTTTTTCCGCTATTACCCCCCCCCCCCTGATGCCCAGTGAGCTTCTGAACTCGCTTCCTCTGCTCCATTTGCTCCAGCTTTAGCATCTGTGGGTACCTCGTACTTGAATAAGAAATGGTAGATCGATGTTAAACCGTGCAAAAAGCAGGAAGAAGAGAAGAGTAAGAAGTGATATTGGAGGAGAGGCTTGGCTTGGGTGGGTCACGCTGGTGGTGGCGACAGTGACAGCTTCCCAATCCGGAATTGGTAGCAAAGACCTTGACTTCGCTGTCCATTTTTACGTCAGTGTCGGAGGCAATAGTGGTGGCATCGAAATTGATGATTGCGATGGTGGTGCTAGAGTCAACATCTCGCCTGCTACAGGCGAGTATTCTTCTGCATGGGAGTCGATCAAAGGCATTTATGAAGAAAGAAATCCGTCTTTTATGTGTGAGTACCCAAAGGGGCAGAAAGTGAGTCCTGCCATAAGCAATCGCGTAGTGGGGCCAGCAGATGCACCTAGTCGCAAGGCGCCGATGTCTGGCCCACCTCCACTGGCCACATACGAAGTGGAGGTATATGCAACCAAATGCGAACTGCATCTCCGGTTGTGCCGCGGTTGCCTCTGAATCGTTCGCCGTCAGCAAGAGGGAAGTGGTGGCTCAAACGACAATTTTAACTTGGAATATGGGTTGGCTGGTTGATTACTTCCTCATCATTTCCAAAACTGTCAGCAATTGCATTTGATTGGTTGTTGCTCTACTCCGTCTTGTCACTTGTGGGTGTTGGTGCGATGGATTGAAAAGTAAGTAGGTGAATTAGCCATGGACTTGACGAATTCCTTCCCAAAAGTTTACTCTACCGTTTGCAGCATGTGTTCTTTCCTTGAGAGCTACTGCAGTACACAACATAGCATTGTCCATTCCTCATCTGTCTACTTTGTCTGAGATTTATCTCCAATATCCATCGGGCTGAATATCTGTCGCCTTGCCTGCTTATTTATCCGATGACTTGGTCATGACAATCCTTTGTTAACCCATTTGTTTAAATGGTGCCCCATGCCACAACTCACCACACCAAACCCACAAGTGACAGGACACATCGAAATAACAAACAATCATATTTATTTACAAATATCCATCTGTACAACTAATTGGGGAGGTAATCAACTAGTCGGATAGTACGGGTTTGAAACAGCGTCAAAGCAAACTCCTCCGACACCTTCGCAGAAGCCTGCACCACTAAAATAGGAGCAAATAGTCATCGGCAAGCTGATTGTTGAGAGGTATGCAAATATTATTTGCACACATGTGTGCAACCTACCGAAGACTGCAATCTGGATGCCGTCAGTTGCACTGGTGCTCACCTCCTCTATTTCACCTGCCCTTGTCAGTGGAGGACAGGCTGGATGTGGAATCTACACCGCCTGGGGGCCTGTACC